AAAATACTAAATTTATATAAAACTATTCGTTTTAAAAAAAAATAGGATTATTAAAATATAATAATTAAAATATAAAAATCGAATTAAAAAAAAAAAAAAATTTAAATTCTATTTATTATACTTTATAAATTAACTTAAACGCGATAAATTTAACGAATATATCGATAATAAACTCAAAAAGGGTTATATTAAACTATCATCCTCTCTAATAAGAATATTAATCTTCTTCGTATTTAAAAAAAATAAAAAAAAACTTAAACTTATAATCGATTATAAAAGATTTAATGAAATTATTAAAAAAAATTACTATTTATTACCTTTTATTATAAAATTTAAAGAAATATTATACGGAGCTTAATAATTCATTATAATAAACTTTAAAAAAGTATTTAATTAAATTAAAATTAAAAAAAAAAAAATAGAAAATAGTATTCTAAACCCGTAAAAGACTTTATAAATACTTAGTTATACTTTTCAAATTTATTAATATACCCGCCATATTTTAAATAATAATTAACTATATATTTAAAAAGTATATTAATATTTTTATAATTATTTATTTTAATAATATCCTTATCTTTTCTTTTAATTTCAAAATATATAAAAAATACGTTTATATAATATTTTAAAAACTTTAAAATATAAAACTCTTTGTTAAGCTTAATAAATATAAATTTTATATATAAAAAATAAATTTCTTTAACTATATAATTATATTAAAACAAATCTATATATAAATATTTAAAATAATAATAATTAAGGATTAGTTTATATTTATTAACGTTAAGGACGTATAGTTATTTTTAAAATTCGTTAACTTTTATTAACAATTTTTTAAAAACTATATTAATATTATTAAACCTTTTAATAACCTAATAAAAAAAACATAACCTTTATTTAAAATAAAAAACATAAAAATACTTTTAATAAAGTTAAAAATTTAATTATTTTAAAACTAATAATTATAATCTTAAACTTAAAAAAACTATTTAAAATTAAAACCGACGCTTTAGATTTCGTTATAAAAACTATTTTAAAATAATAAAACTAATAAAAAATACTTTATTTTTATATATTCTATTTTAAAACGTTTTATAAAATAAAACTAAATTAATAAATTTATAATAAAGAATTAATAATTATAATTAAAGCTTTTAAAAAATAAAAACTATAACTCTTAAGAACTAAATACGAAGTTATTATTTATATAAATTATAAAAACCTTACGAACTTTATAATAAATAAGAATTTAAATAAACGATAAATTAAATAAAAAAAATTCTTATTTAAGTTTAATTTTTAAATTATTTATTAAAAAGGTTTAAAAAATAGTAAAATAAACGCTTTTAATAAACGACCTAATTATAAAGTTACGGTCCTTAAGGAAATATAAGTAATCTTTAAATACGACGATAATAATAATTTTATATTTATTATAAAACTCCTTATAATAGCTAGAAAAGTTAATATTAACTTATTTAAAAAAATAATTCTTAAATTTATTATAAAAATTTATAATATTTAAATATACGATTATTAAAATATTATAAAAATATAAAAACGGATTTGTTAATATTATAATAAATTTATTATAAAAATAGAAGTCGCTAAAGTTATTAAAAACTATAATATTTATAAAAAAAATAAAAATAGCCTTTATAAACTTTATAAAGAGCTATAATTACTATTAATATTACTAAAAGTATAGTATTTAATCTCTTAAGACTTTATTATTAAATTACTAAAATCTAAAAAACTACTTATGAATATATAGTACGATAGTATCTTAATTATTGTTAACCGACTTACTAAGTTCGCTTATTTTATACTATATAAAAAAATAAATAATATTAAAAAATTAATATATACTTTTTTTAAAATAGTTATTATTAACTACGGTTTACTTAAAGAAATAATCTTTAATAAAAATAAGCTATTTACCGTTAAGTTTTAAAAAATTTTAATTTCGTAGCTCGGTATAAATTATAAATTATCGACTTTTTTTTATTTATAAACCGATAAATAAATAAAAAAAATTAATTAGATTTTTAAAATATACCTCCACTATTATATAAATTATAACTAAAATAATTAAATATTATTATTATTAATAGCTTAGTTTATATATAATAACGTAATTAGTAAAAATATAAAAAAATCCCTTTTTTATTTTAACTACGGATTTTAATTAATTATATATAAAAAAGCACGTAAAAGACTATAAGCTATAAAAGCTATAGTAAACGTAAATAAATTTAAAAAAATCTAAAAAAAAGCCTTTTTAAACCTTAAGTTTATATAATAATATATAAAAAAATACGCTAATAAATTAAAAATTAATAAATTAATTTTAAAAAAAAGAAATAATATATACCTCTTTCGCCGTAATATCAAAACAAAACGATTAAATAATAAATTAAATTATAAAAAACTTAAACCTTTCGAAATTATTAAAAAAGTCTTACTAATTAATTTTAAATTAAAACTCTTAAATACGATATAATACTATTTAGTTTTTTATATCTTACTTTTTATATTAATACTTAAGGGCTTATATATTAAAAATCGTATTATTATTAAACTTAACGAACCGGAATATAAAATTAAACGAATTATCGACTACCGAATTTAAAAAAAATAATAAAAATATCTTATTAAATAAAAAAACTATGGATATAAAAATAATATATAAAAACCCGTTATAAACTTTTAAAACTCCTAATAACTTTTTAAAAATTATTAAAAAACGGAATTAATAGTCTTAAAGACGCGAACTCGTTACTAAACCTAAAAAAAGACTAATTTATATTATTAAAAACCTATATAAATTATAATTCTTTAATTATTCTACGTTTATATATATTTAATATAAACTTTAAAGTATTGGATTTATTTACTTTTTATATCCTTTAAAAAAAAGTCTTAACCTAACGATCCTATATTAACTTTTAAGTTTTTTAAATATAAAATAAACGACTAATAATAATCGCTATTAATAATTAAAAACGGGCTAACTCCTCGTAAAGTTTTAAAAATTCCTTACCTATTTTTTTTTTTTTTTTATTCTTTTTACTAAATATTAAGTTTTTAAATTATAATTATTAACGATTATAAATATAATAAAAAATAAAAAATTAGCTTACGAATCGATATTATTAATATCCCGTCGTAAAGCTTTTTTATTTTTACGTAAATTTAATAATAAAAAAACCCTTTATTAAACTAATATATAACCTTAATATAAAAATAATAAATATAAAGTATATTAATATTAACCGGACGAGTTTTAATAAACTCTAAAAATACTAAACGCTTATAATCTTTTATTTTTATTTTTTTAAATTTTATTTTAACACTTAATTTTTTTACGCGATTTAATATAATATTAATATTATAAAAAATAACGAATTAATAACTTAATAAGCCCTAACCTAAGTTATAGATATTTATTTATAAATCTATAAGACTAGACCTTTAAAAAAGAGACCTAATATTACGATTTAATATATATAATAAACTAAAGACCTACCCCGCTACTTTATAACGGCTACCTCGCTATATATATAATTAAATAATAAAAATATATATATTACCTTAACGGATCAAAAGAATTATAAAGAAGTTATATACTAATAAAAAAGACCGACGGATAATAAACGGTCCTTAAATATAAACTAATAAGACAAAAATCGGTCCACCTTTAAAAAACCGATTTTATAATATTAATCCTAAATATAAAAGAACTATTTAATAATATATAGGACTTATTTATAATATAAATTTAAACTAAGTTTATATTTATAATTTCTATAACTTCTTTAATAATTAACTTCGTATTAAATCTTATAATTATTTTTAATTATCTTTATTAAAAACTTATTTAATAAAATTACGATTAATTACTAAAGCTTTACCTACCTTACGACTTATAAATAATAATTTTATTAAAAACTATTTTTATAACGATTACTATTTATAAGTATCGTAGCCCCGATTTTTGTTAATATAAACCTTATTACGATTAGCTAGCCGTAATAGTAAAGAGGTTATTATAAATATTAAAGTCGGTTAATAATATAAAATTAGTATTTATTAAGGCCTATAGTTATAAAGTAATCCGAAGTAATTACGGCGTATTAAAAATCGTACGACTTATTATTAATTAATTAATTATAATATAACGAATCAATTAATATATAATTTAATTAATTTTAATAATAATTATAATAATTATAAAAGGTTAAAAATAATAATATATAATTTTATTAATTTTATCGATATTAAAAAAAGGGGGTATTAATTAACTAAAGAGGTTTTTTTAAATCCTAAATATTAAAAAATATTAAATTTAATATTATATATTATTTAAGCTTTTTTTTTAATAATAATTATTAATAATATTCTATATAATTAAATAGTATAATACCTTACTTATAGCTATAAATAAAGAGTCGTAAGTTCGAATCTTATTATAAAAGTTTATATTATTTATAATAAACTTAACGGTTTATTTAAATAATATATATTTTTAATTAACCCGGCCTCGGATTTTCTTTTTTCTAAGCGATTTTTATTTAATTAAATAAATTAAATATAAGGCCTTACGATATTTAATTATTTAACTTATTGAAATCCTTATATTTGATTGTTTGTTTGACTTATTTGTTTAATTGATTTGAATGGGTAGGTGCGCTGACTGCCAGCTGCGGATATGTTTTCAAGGTCTGGTGTCTGGATCTAGCGTGGTACTGGATTTACGATGGGCAACAGGATCGCCGCCTTTGACTGGCTATACGTCTGGAGAGGAATCACCAAGATTGTCTTCGCTTGCTGTGGAAGACGGAATTACAGCTTCGAAGTCCATAATCGGATGTTGATCAAGTAAACTAATAAATGTAGTGCGAAAGGCGGACTACACAAACTTCAAACTACATGTCTCGTGATCGCGACAATGAACCAGGACCCAATTCTGGTCCGTTAACCATTTCCCTTAAATGTCGTTAGACTCCGCTGATTTCCTTCTTCCATCTACTGCTCTCCTTCAGCCAAGCTTCAAAGGTCTGCAACCGCGGCTCCTCCTTCCTCAAAACCTGAATATCCGCCCCATATCCCTCTGTCCGAAAGAATTCAAACATCTTGCCCACATCCGCAATAGCCCAGAGCATGCCCCTCCCGAAGATTGTGTACGTCTGCGGCATCTCGCTGCCGACGACTCTCTTAAACGTCTCCCTCGCCTGGGCGTAGGTAAGACTGTCGCCCGCGAGCGACACGGCTCTCCGATTCCACTTTTCGGGCTCCGCGACGGCCTTGGCCGCAAAGAGACCGATATCCCGCCCCGAAACGAGCTGCAGGCTCCGGTCGGCGGGTAGCGTGGACCACATGGCGGCAAACACCTTGCCAAACATGCCCGGGTTGGTGTTGTCGAAAAACGCCGTCGGGCGCAGGATGGTCCAGCGCAGTTTCCGGCCGCTCTTGTCCAGCGCGTCGGCGCGGTCGCGGAGGTGGACTTCCACGGCGTGCTTCTGCAAAAAGTGCGGCACGTCGGTCGGGTTCGCCCACGACTTGTCCTCGCCGCCGCGGTCGACGGAGGTCAGGACGATTTGCGAGGCTGCGCCGGCGTCAATGGCGGCGTCGACCCAGGCCTTGCCGATGACGTCCTCGTTGCCAATGGTGGTTACAATGAAGACCGTGTCGACACGGGGATGGGCCTCGAAGACTGGCGCGGGCGAGCCGTTGAGGTCTCCCTGGACGGGGGTGACGGCGACGCCACCCTTGGTCTTTGCTGTCTCGATGAGGGATTGGATCTTTTCGGAGTCGGGACTTCGTGTCAGGGCGAGGATTTCGAGGGGTGGTGAGCTGGGTGGGAGGTCGAGGAGGGCGTCGACGACAGCGGCGCCTTGATTGCCTGTTGCGCCTAGAACGAGGACCTTTCGTGTTGGAGCCATGGTTGTAGGAGTGAGGGTGTTACAGCGTAAGATTTGGATTTCTGATGGTAGGAAATCGGCGACGGATGTATCTCGTGAGTTTGGAGCTGTCTAGGGGTAGGTGAACAAGCTCGCATAGAAGAGCGTATAGGGGCACGTGAGGGGAGAGCTTGGAGCGGGGTTGTAGGGATAAGCCTCCTGGCTTGTGATATATGAGGTCGGAATGGCGTCATGACCTTTGGCTGCGGCCGCTCGAGCGCCTACCCTTTGCGTTGATGTGTACATCTGTGCTAATGCCTCAGTGGCGTTTCTCTGGTCCAAGTCGGATCATGTGAGATGCTCTGCCAACCTGTCTATGGCATAGCTATCGTTTTACGCATGCTACTTATGTTTATACATAAGGTAGATTTCACCGTTGTCCTAAGCCAGCGTCCTTCCAACAGCATCAAATTGGGGTGACGGAGAGCGAATTGAATAGAGAAAAGCTTGAAATCCCTGAGAGGCGTGGGCAGCTTTGCACGGTGAGAATCACAAATAACAGCAAACGTTTAGTCCCACAAGTTCGACCATCCCGTTTGCCCAACGGTATGATTTGAGGTTGGATCATTGTTTAGCCCCCTTCATTTGAGATATTGTACTGAGACCGACTTGTGGCGAATTATCTGATTGCCGTTTAAGAATGGTCATTTGAAGCCGCATCTATGTGTGCCGGGTAAATGTCACCGGGGCCCATTCCGGAGCCGTGTCAGCACGGAAGCTGCACAGCTGGTGGGGACCCCGCCGGCAGGAGAAAGTCAGGCGGGAGGCCGGGTCCCCATAAAGCGCGAGGTATTGTACTAATTACTTGAAGGTAGGGTTTTGGTGCCTACTTTGAGTCATGACAGAGGCAGATGAGTTTGGTATGATGAAGGGGAAAACATATGTAGTGAGGCTCTCAGTTTGGGGAGAACAGGCTCATTGCGTAAGTGTGGCCCTAGTCATCCTCTCAGACTTCACAATGCGGGTACGAAATGCACTGACGTTCATTGTTCTAATCCCTTGCCACGAATTGCGTATTCAAAAGACACCTTTACCGTTGTTTCTTCACACCGGACCTGAGCGTTGCCTTGCGAGCCGCGTCTGGGGTGCGGCGAGGGACGGCACACCCGGAATCCATCGGAGATCCCCAACTCTCTGGATCCCAAGTCCGGCAGTGAGTAGGGGAGACGGCCGGGGGAACGGACAAAACACATGGGTAGTTAGGATTGATTCAAACCAGAAGCCAAGACCACATGGACAGATGATGACGATGGTGAATAGGAAGTTGAGGAGTCGCATTGAGTTTCTTAGTCAAGGCGGGACGTTCGCGTTCTCGCGTGCGAGAAGTCGGAGCCCGACGAGGCGGCGGCGCTCCCGCGACATCGACGTGACACGGCGACGAGACATGACGCGACACTAACAATTCAGACGTCTGATGAACGGATGAAGCTGTTAGCGGCCAGCTTTGAGGAGTGGAAGGGAGCTTTGCTTTCCCTGAGTGCGCACTGCTCTACTTACTTAATGAGCGTGTTGGATTGAATTTCCATTCTTGCAGAGATTAATGACAGTTCTCCATTCAATCATTCCACCAACACAAGTGAGCGAAAGGGAATAGAGACAAAGTTAAGTGACCGAGACACAGATATCGGCCCGCAGACATGTTTGGCCGCGTCCTCCTCACGCTCGACGGCATCTTCCTGCTCTTTGGCGCATACTTGGCCGACTGGAACGAGACGCACATCTACAACCCACGGTGGCCGCCGCACGCCAAGTAAGTGTGCCCCCCCTCCATCGCGCCGTGTCTCTACACCGCGCTGTTCGCGTCGCACGACAGAGCCAAGTCGGCGATGTCAGCCCCCACAAGTGCTTGCATCCCGTCATCCATGAAGCTGACCAAAACCAACCCACACGCTAGATTCCACAATGGGCAGACAATGACGCTCTCCCTGATCCTAGGCATGGCGACGCTCTTCTTCACGTGGCGCACCAACACGTCGGCCGAGATGGCAAAGGAGTCGTTCCGCATCGCAGGCTTTCTGGGGTCCATCTACTGGGTGGCCGGGTGCGCTGCGATGCTGTACCCCGACACCGACGGGCTGGACCCGGAGCACGGCGGACCGGGGTTCCCGCAGAAATACCCCTTCACTGCGGCGATTGGGCTCGCTGTGACGGGCATGTATCTCGAGGGCGGCGTCTAAATTTGGTCATGTGGTTGGTTGACGATGGTACATGCGGCAAGAAGTCGAGGATAGAGCGAGAATGGAGTTGGACAGCAAGTTTATAGGGAATGAAGCATTCGAATATCCTTCTTTCTTAAGTTGAGGGCGACATGGAGCTGGGGGATGAGCTGAGCTGAGATGTTCCTTGCGATCGATATTTGCTATCGATACTTAGGTTACGAATGCATTCGAGCTGAGACTCTTTGTTTTCCCTGCTATCCTTCGGCCTGTCTGTCAGGCAGGTGGAACTCCCGGAACGTAATCAATCATCACCCTGTGATAACGTCTTTTTTCTTTAAAAAAAAAAAATCAAATATAGAGCTGCGGTAAGTGGACGGACCACGGCACGGCGCATAACTGACCGGGCGGCGGAGGACCAGGGGGGAAGAACATTGGGGAGAGCACGCGGCGCGTCAGAATTAGTTCACCTCAAGGGCAGGCCAAGCGAGAACGGAGGGGCCCCCGGGGATTACGTGGAGGGCCGTTTTGTTCTCGGCCTTGGTTGCCCTATTTTGTCGATGCCTCTAGATTATTTATCCTTGTGTCTCGAGGTCTTTTTTGTGAAACAAGGAGGCGGATTCGAGGAACTGTGAACCTGTGCTACGCGAACTCACCATCGCGGCCCTCCTCTTGTGTTGTTCCGCTCGCGTCTCCGAGGGGCGGGACGAGAATTGGGAATTTCTGGGAGATATCTAGAATGACGTGTGCTAAGATTCTTGAGGGGACAAGGGGGTAAGGGTCCTCGACTAGTGTACGAATCCCAAAAAAACCCCTTGTCCCTTGTCCTCTCGCCTTTCCCTCATCGGGAATTTTGGCAGCATGGACTGGTGCATTTGTTCCAATGGGCTGGCTTCTGTGTTGTCTGTTTGCTTTCAACATGGGCCTCGGGTTCGCCCCATGGCCCGGCCGCCGGCACATAGCTCCAAGCCACGCAGCACACAAACGGTAAGCTTGAAGTGGCATGGTAGCATCGCAATGGCCGAAGATGCCGTCCTCGGCTCCGCAAAGACTAAGATTGGAGAGATACTGACAGAAGGGGGGGGCGGTCTCGGCAGCGACTATCCGGTTAGCTCGGGAATGGCTTTGGTGGCTGATCTTCTACTGAAGTCTGAATGCAAGCCGTTCATGTTACAGCAGCCAAGCCCTTCAAGAATTTTCTGGGGGGAGAGGGAGGAACGCAGCGCGCTCGAACGGCTTGCTGGAAAACTACGCTCTGTATGCGAGAACGAAAAGAGCCTCGAATCCCCTCCCCAAGCCCTGGGATACAGATTACCATTCTCCCACCCTGCAACCGCTTTCCCACGGCGCCAAGTCTCGACGATGGAGACACTCGCGTGATGTGTTACCCGATGAGTTGGGCACGCCGCTGCCGCCGAATCTACTCTCCTCTGACCTGGTGATTGACAAGGATCGGGCCCAGGCGAAGACAGATAGATAGACAGGGTTCTGGGGATGTGGAGAGGGAAAGTTTCTCGTGACCCCGTCCGACTTACTAGGGAAATTCATGGCACTGGTGCAACATTCCACATTCCATATCCCACCTGCATCAACCAGCTTTGCATGTCTCCCTCTCTGCCTACGCATGCAGCAATCACAAAAAGGTACTAGACTTCCTCGAAAGGTAAGGAGGGCGGGAGGGATACCAGAAGCATACCCAGTCTCGTCCTTCTGGGCCGTAATGAGGCCGTCCGAAACAGACATGGAGAAAGCATCAACGGCCGAGACTTCTTCGATGGGTTTGGACTCTGGGGTTGCAAGACAGAAAGACTCGGACGGGGGCGTCTAGCATGGCCGGCGGAACGCCCAGAAATGTAATGGGCTGCGTAATCTGCAGAACTGCGACATCAACGCAGCCGGGGGAGGGATCAAACACGACGCACGACAAACCAACACCATTCCAGCCTCCTGGACGGATGCAGACGTACGTCTGCAAGCCCCTGAGCCACCGTGACAACACGGGTCGGACAGGTCATACTCTCTCGTTCGTGAACTCACAAAGTTGCCATAAAGTAAAGATGGGAATAGACTTATTGCCATGATCCCCACTGTCCAAGGGGGGGGAGGGACCCTGGGCTGAGAAAACTAGACAATGGTTCCAGAAAACCAAACCAATAAAAAGCCTGAGCCACACTCGCGCACTTTGCAAGCCCATCGAGCCCCCAATGCCCCATTCAGATGGCCGTCTCCACCCGAGCTTACGACGACTGCACATCAAAGCAAGGATGCCACGATCCCCAGCAACCAGTGCGGTGCAGCAACCGCAGTGACAAGCGCCAACTAACGTGTAGTTTATACGTCCCTCCTCAGCTGGGCTGCTGCCCTCGTTTCGTTCGTTCCCAGTGCTCTCCGCCGCCGCGTTCCCAAGACACGCGAGGACGAGGCAGAGACAAAGGTGAGGAGGTACAGACCTACCTCACTGAAGTGCCCAGAGTACCCAGACTGCCCGCCCACTCCCCGCCGTCTGAATGTGAGTTGAGGTGGAAGCTGGGATGAATCGGGGATCATGAATGAGACGAGGATCAGACCAAGAAGCCCTCCTGCCCTCCCCCTACAAATGTTGGGTATGACACATGCAGTAAATGTCTTCCATGTAAGAAGGAGTACCAGGTGACGTGGAGTAGGTATGTACGGTAGCCACATAGAGTGATAGTCGGTAGTGGCATTGAGAGCGCCCAGATGCTTCAAGGCTGGGCCACACCCCGAGTGTGCCCTGGAAACCCGGAGGAAGCGCCCCTTTCTGCTGCAAGAGGGTCTGAGAGGCTGCTTTTTGAAGGGTCGTCTTCCCATCCGCTTTAGAGTGTCTTTTGTTTCGCCCTTCTCCTCGTGCTGGATCTCTTTGATCTCTTTGATACTTTTTGTACCTGATCATCCCTCCCAGTTACCTTGTTTTCTCTCTTCCCCTCTCTCTATCTCTCTCTCTCTCTTTTTCTTGCTCTCACTTGCTTTTATCCTGTTTACCTGGAATCTCCTCCCGTTACCAATATACTTTTTGAAAGAAGCATTTGGAGTAGATTAACGGCCGAATCCCCGGCACGCCACCCGTCCCCATCATAACCATCCCGGCCGTCTAGTGTACCAACGTCTTGGCGGTCGACCATTGATTTCTTCGCGTCTCGACTGCCGGCTTGGCACGGTGCCACCAACATCAAGGCTGATCCATCGACACACCCGCACCCACACACGAGCGACTACCCCTTTGGGAAGCATCGTGTAATAGGACGCTCACCTAACTCGGAGGGATCACGAGAATATTATCCGGAACTTGAACGGGAACGAGAACCGAAATATTTTCACTCGTCGTCAGGTTGAGACTCAAAAGGGAAGATTGAGAAAGGATCACAGAAGAAACATTAACAAACTTGGACGAGGCAGCGCTACGCCTTGGTCGCCTCGTCGACTCATCTCACCAACCGTGGCGCCTCAACTCATCCCGAGGATCATCGTCAGCATTGACGACCTAACTCACTCCCCGCGACATACAACGCACATAATGTCCAAGGAACTCCCCCGCCACGAGAGGCGACCCTCGTCACCGACGGCGTACAGCAGCAGCAGCGGAAGCGCCTCCGGCAACCCTTTTCAGCAATGCGACATGAGCCTCAAGATGCTCCTCGCCTTCGTCTCCACACGAGTCCTTCGCGGCGGCCCGCGGCTCATCATCCAGCTCATCCTCGCCGTCTTTGGTCTGCTCCTATTGGGCAAATTCTTCACATCGCCGACGTCGACGGACAGGCTATTTGAATCGGGATCGAGATGGAGCTGGTCGCCATTTGGCAAGAGCGCCGAGGACGTTGGTTTCGAGGGACCTGGGGGTGTGAGGGTGGTTGCGTTTGGATCGCCCGATATTGCGACACCATCGAGTGCCAGAGGAGCCAAGGGCAAGGGCTGGACGGAGGTCCTTTGCGAAGAGGTAGAGTTCAAATTTGATTCTAGGTTCAGATCTCGGTTCAAATAGCTAACAGGATCTCAGCTCCGCTGCTCCTCTCACCAATCCTTCACCCCTTCAACCAATCTCCCCACGCAGGCCTTCACATCTCTTCAACACTACCGCGACACCATTGAAAAGGTGGAGCGCGAACTCGACGAGTACAAACCGCCGGGCTACAACTACGACTTCCTCCTCGAGCAGTACCCCATCTCCGGCTACATCGCCGACCTCACCGCCCAGGTCGACGCGTTCCTCGCCCAACCCCAGCCCGCCCCGGCCAACATCTCCAAGGAGACCATCTGGGTCTTCTCCTTTGGCACCTGGGACGTCTGGACTTTCGCGTGTCTCCCGCGCGGGCTGGGCGAGGGCATCATCGACCTTGCCGCCCGCGCCCTCTTTGCGCAGGTCGAGCGCGTCTACCAAGCCGCCCTCGACCACGATTCCATCGCCTTTTCCGACTTTTGGGTGTACCAAAACGCCTCCCTCATCGACAAGCTCAACGAGACGAACCAAAGCGGCGGCGACATTGACGTGCGCGAGGTCGAAAACTTCCGCGTCGTCATCCCCGAGCTGTTTGACATCTCCCTCACCCCCGGCTGGCACGTCCAGCGTCCCACGCCGCCGAGCCCGCACACCAAGGCCGAGCAGATGACCAACGCGGCGCACCTCACCGCGCGCTGGAACTCGGAGATCAAGGCCCGCATGGGCGAGTGGATGAACACCGCGGACCCGCAGCTCAACAGCACGGAGGAGGAGCAGCAGCAGCAGCAGCAGCAGCAGCAAAGGGTCCAGTTCGGCTCCCTCCCCGCCAGCAAGCACGCCGCGGCCCGCTACCGTCGCGCGCGCGCGAAGCAAGGTCTCAAGACCGCCCCCTCCGACGCCCAGGCCCTGCGCGTGCCGTTCCCCCGCCGCGCGGCGGCGCAGGTCGACACGGTCAGCTTCGTGCGGGAGGCGATTGTGGAGCGGCAGATGCGACAGTATCGTCTCACGGACAGGACGGGCCGCGGCAACCGGACAGAGGACGGCGACAACATCTTCTTCGCCGAGACGTGGACGCCGTGTATCTGGGCAAAGACGTCGGAGACGGCTGAGGGCGCGCGCGGCGAGTACGCCGCGTGCGACACGCCCGACGAGTATCTCTTCCACGCGCCGTTTACGCTGAGCGAGCGGGCGATTGCGCACACGGCGAGGATCGTTGCCGGCGAGGCGAGGCGCAGGCTTGCTTTTGTGGATGCGGTTGATGAGAGTGAGGGGGAGGCGAAGGAGGGCGAGACCGCGACGGCGACGGCAACGGCGACAGCGACGGCCAAGGTCAAGAGAGATGAGCCGAGGAGCGAGTTGGGCCACTTTCATCGCGTTTTGCGTCCGAATCTCGCGGCGCGGGTCGTTGAGGCCGCTAGCCCGACGTAAAACGTTTACTATGTGTTGTTTTCTTGCCTCTTGATGATTTTCCCGTGAAGGGGGACCTCCGCATGGGATACTCATGATGAAGAATAGGGGGATGTTGTTTGTGTATTTCGCGGCATTGGCATTGGCGTTGGCAGGGGATTGGGTTGAAGGGTCCAAACAAAGCATTATCATGTCATCGACGTCCCCGAACAGTTTGGGGCTCGACGGAGTTTTTGGTTAGAGTAGATACCGGGGATATATCCCCACAGATGCAGTCATAGGCAATGACATTTTCTTTGAGTACATTACCAGGCGTTGAAGGGCTTTGCTGGTGAATCCTCTTATGTCGGTTTGAATTGCTGACTTGAATGATTGTTGGTTGATACACTGCCTCGAGAAAGTATATAGAAACCTAGGTGAGCTTAAAAGCAGACGATTAGGGAGGCCAAGGTTATGCTGGCCCCATCCACGCCTTATAAAAGCACGTACACGAAGGGATCGCTGGCACCATATCAAATTGATCGACGCCGACTATCTCGTTGCCTGCTGCGGTCTCATTATTGCCGTCAGCATTGTCACGCGGGGAAAACCAAAAAGGCAACGCGGATCTCGCCATGTTGGGGTATAACCCCATTTTGAACGTCCTCGTGGAGGCTCTCGACAATAATGAGACTGTAGTGATTTGCTGTGCGGAGTTGGTTTTCTCTCTGATGACCATTTCCTCCAAAGTCCTGCTGGAACGAGGGTTGACAATATTGACTCAATCAGCGGCTACACCGTGGTTTCGACGGCGATTGCTTCTCGCAAGTTCCAGAGTCCGTGTACGGTCCCAAGACGGTGTGTCAAAGGGTCTATGGTGATGACATCCTGCGCTGGGCGGGCGTGACCTTCACCTACAGCAACACCGTCGTCTCCGGGACTGTATATATGTACATCGCGACCAGCTACGACTTCAAGACCAGGAGGCAGACTTTGAGCGGCGCAATGGGCGAATTCATGTTGCCCGTGGCTTCTTGACCGGCTATCACGTTGATCCACAACGCGGCCGCGGAGACCGGGGCCGAGGGTGACGCCTTCTGGGGGTAATGTTGGTGTTTTGGCGACGGTTTGGGCTTTTGCGGCGCTTGTCGGTGTTGCTTTGGCGATACCTCTCTGAGGACAGACTCGTTCAGCCTTAATGGCTGGCATTTATTTAACGGCAACTTCACATTCTCGATCACACACACGCACATATCACGGTCATGGACTCCCCCTACTGAAACCAGACGCGTTTGATGTTTTGAAAAGCAGGAATTTCAACTGGCAAGGCGCGCCTGCTGAGCTGGTGTCGACCAAGTTCCAGTGGCTTCTGTGTGGTGTTGCAATCGACGACGACGGCCAGCCCACCATTGAGAGTCAAATCAATAACCTGCACCCACAAAGACACTTGCCCTGTGTTTGAAGAGCTCATAAAGAAGCCTTTTCCAGCTTGAGACCTCATCTACCGCTGGGTAGGAGGGTTTCCAGTGCAGCGACTTACGGCTCGAAAGGTTGGGAAGGACATTCCGGTCCCAGATGGTGTCTCCGAAGTTTGGCCCCAGTAAGACGGAAATAGAGGTATGTTCTCGTGGAGAGGCAACAAGGCCAATACCTGGAGATCGACACATTGGATCAACCCTCGAGTGGTGAAACAGGGGGGAAGAGACGCAAACGGCTCAGAGACAACCATCAAAGCAAGGGTCTGAAGATGAAAGAGGCGGCCCCCGAGGTCTGCATCCAAGTCATTGTTCAATTCGCTAATCTCCATCTCACGCCCGAGAGGCCATCCTTTGACGGCGGCTCATGACACATCAAGGCCAGCTCAATGAGAATATCTGCGCTAACTCTCTCTTCTACTACGAAAGCGTCAACATCACCGAGTCTCAGCTCGCCTTCCGAGCCCCCGGAAACAGGGAGAAACTGGGCCAGCGGCTTAACTACCAGCAGTACGGCTACGGATCCATCGAAAAGTTCTTTGCGATCCGGAGCGGCGTTGATACGCTATAGCATGTGGGCGACGTGCTGACGCGGCCTGGCCGAGCGCTCTTCTTTTCTGATCCGAGCCAGCGTAGGGTACAGTCTTTCAGGTCGGAGGATTTGACAAAGCTTGGGTACAATAAGATTGCGGCTATGTTCTCGGTTGCTCCTGTTACATCCGTTATGTCGACGACGAATGTGCCTCCTCAAAAGAAGCATCGGTTCACGAGCCAGGTTCAGGATCAGGCGACGATCGAGGTCGTTGAGATCATGATACTTTCACTGGATGATGAAGCGAAGAAGCTGAGGGAAGAGCTCATGGCTGAAAAAACGGTTCTATCAAAGACTGTTGATAACGAGCTGAGACAAGTGACTTGGAGTTCCTGCGAGCACTGAGATGATATTGAATTGACATGAGCCTATAGTATATGAGATACCCTGAACGTTTAACATGCTATGATAGCTAATCAGAGAAGGCTCGCTCCCTATAGAAAACTAAGCGTCTTGGTCTTGGTGCAATTGGTCAAGGTCAAGGCAATGAAGGTCGACCATAGCCCTACATGGGTTGCCTCAGCAACGTGTTAGGCCGCCCATCCCTTTGCAAAACCGAGGCATTCACCCTTCCACGATCTTGCGTGCCCCTTCGTTTCTGGCAACATCTGGGAACGGCCAACACCTTCTTTCCAATGTAATCCGATGCTTTGACCGAGAATTGCAAGTCTTAATTCGCAGACTTGCCATCATCATCATCTGTCGCGATGATGTTGATTTGTAGGACTTCTGGATCGACATCGTCAACAGGAACTAGATGATCGAAGGTCACGCCATAATAGTCAATGTCGCTAGGCAGAAACACATCAGCTAGCTGTAATGAATAGCCAGCAGCAGATGGGACCTTACTCCACGTTTATTTTATCCCGTTCAATCCATCTCATGTATTCGTCTCGCACGACCATATCGCCAGGGACATCAGAGCGGACCCTCATCCCGTAAATGTGCCGGAAAGTCAGTGCTGCGAGCGCTGAACCAGCTGCCTGAGGGAACTTCCGGTCTCGCAAAGTAGTTTCCCATTCAACGGACGGGAACAGCTTTTGAATATATTCTCGCGGACCTTCGATCTGGACTCTGAGGGGCCGCTCAATATGCGGTAGATGAAGACGGCTAGCAGGACTTCTGATGCAGGGTGGGATGAAGAGCTCAAGAGCCATGACAGCAGGTTATTATTTGTCTATATGAGACGATCAATACGGTGATAGTAGTTGATAGACTGTGAATTGTGTGACCTTCTGGTGATATGGGAGGAAGGGAGTGAGGCTCCCAGATGATTGATGCCTAGAGGCTGGAAGTGGGCTGGGCCACAGCCACAGCCCGACTGGTACACGGGCCTCCTCGGGTGCCTAGCCACAATTGATACCAGCCAGATACCAGAGAGGTTTTGTTACATGAATCAGACTACTACCTAGGTACATGATGCAGTCGAGGAGTTGGGGGTTGCAGTTTGCAGGGGCTCGTAGTCTTATCTCCATTAACCATCATTCAGATGTCTATCACAACGGACAAGATCGCGCAATCGGCGGTTAGTGGGGTTAGGCCGGGGGGTGTTCAAAATCTGACCCAGGACACCTTTGTAAGCCTTAGCACGGAACGGGGTAGCTCTGATGACAGGATAGACCCTTCATGGTTGCGTTTAGAGATGTCGGCCGAACCTCGGTTAAGCGTAACAACCTCTTGTCTTTATCTATCGCATGGGGGGAGGTTGGATGGCGAAATGTGCAACCCTCCAAGACGACATCGCAGCCAGTGGAACCCTTTTTTTTCTTGAGTGGTACGCAGCGGCAGCGGGCACATGCAGCAAAAAGATAAAATGCGGGACACAACCTCAGAGGAGGCGGCGCCGCTGCTTCCCAGCTCTACTACACTCCATGCCTCGACGTATTCAGTCTCTGCGATGGCCTCAAAGATCAAAGATGCCCTCTGGGGCCCGCCGTCGGTCGAGCGCTCGCTGCTGATCAAGCTGGATTTCACCGTGCTCATCTACTTTTCCGTCGTGTGGTTCTTGTTTGGCATCAACCGCGCCAGCTACAGTACGGCCTACATCAGCGGCATGAAGGAGGACCTCAACTTTCAGGGCAAGGTGAGATGAGCCCGCGCGCAACAAGAGGAGGAGGAGGAGGATCCGATGAATCATGAGGGTACATACATGTACGCAGCTGTGACAGGTTCTAACTTTGTTGGCTGTAGGACTACAACTACATGCACACGATTTATCTAGTCACCTACGCCGTATTTCAAATCCCCTCAACCTCGCTCTTGACCGTCGTCAAACCCCGCTACATCTTCGTGGCAGCAAACACAGTCTGGAGCGTCCTCACCCTCGTCACTTTCCGAGCATCACACGTCTACCAACTCTTCATCCTCAATGGATTCGAGGGCGCCTTTTCAGCCATTGCATAGTACGTTCCAAAACTTCAGAGCCTAGTCAGTTTTTTATGTTTGGTTACCTGTAACTAACGACGCCCTGGCAGTGTCGGCGCGCACTTCATCTATGGATCGTGGTACAAGCAATCCGAGCTCGCCACCCGCGCGGCAGTCTTTTGCGCCTTTGGCAACCTCGGCAACATGGCCGGAGGCTGGATCCAGGCGGGCCTCGTGGCGTCTCTGTCGGACGGTCCCATCGAACCCTGGCGACTCATTTTTATCGTGGTTTCGTGCATCACCATTCCCTTTGCCATCTTTGGTGAGTTTTTCTCTCGCGGATCTGGTTCCATGGTGCAGCGGTGAAGACTCTGTGTTGAAAATTAACATTGTGAAAAAAAGGGTGGTTCGCGATCCCCGACCTGCCAGAGCACCGCGCAGCCAAGTTCCTGACCCCGGAAGAGAGGGAACTCGCCATCACCCGTCTCGGCCGATCAAAGACAAAGGCGTGGGACAAGACGGTATTCCAGCGCGTCCTCCTCAGCTGGCAATTCTGGCTCCTTCCCACCGTCTTCATGCGTACGTCTTTCCCCTTACCAATGAATGAATGGTTTGAACTTCTGGACAAAAGGACTGGACTGACATGCGCGCATAGTATACTCCCTCAGCGTCCAAGCAATCGGCAACAACGTGATGCCCCTCTGGATGGCCTCCCGCGGCTACACCGTCATCCAGCAAAACAACTACCCGACCGCGGTCTACGCCACGGGCATCGTCGCGACCTTTATCTACTGCGCCGTCTCGGATAGGCTCAGGTCGCGCTGGCAGGCGTCGCTGTGCATCGGCTTCACCTTCATCATCAGCAGCGCCATCTTGATTGCGAACCCGCCTGATGCAGGCTACTTTTTCGCGTTTTACCTGATGGGCACCACGTATGCGCCGCAGGCGCTGTGGTATTCGTGGATGGCGGACTTGACGGCCCATGATTTGCAGCTGAGGGCGATTACTACGGGATTCATGAATTCGTTTGATTTCGCATTTGTGGTGAGTTTGGCTCTTATGTCTTGTTGCGACGGCGGTGAAGGCACGTTTTTGCACGTACGTTTGAATTACTGACAGACAAAACCTAGACGTGGTGGCCGTTGATCTTCTACCCCGTGACGGACGCGCCGAATTACCGCAAGGGATATATCGCTAGTCTGGTGACGGGTGCGTTGACCGTTCCGGTTATTTTGTTGATTGCGTTTCTCGAGAGGCGCGGGCGAAAACTTGGTAAACTTGGTAGTGTCCGCGACGAACATGCAGAGAACTCGAGCGACTCGGCTGAATAGGCGATGGGGGCAACCAGTACAGTTGTTGCGGTCGCGATGAGATTTCAAACAACGTACTCGTAGAGGATTGCCGAGACTTAACGTCCCTGGCAACAACGTGCTGGGGTAGGGCGTGGGTCACAAAGTGAGGCCGGCGTAGTCAAATAGACATCCTTATCTCCAGACAAGAGGAACTTGAGCAGTCCGATACGTGCTTCGCGAGAAGTGAGTTAAAACTCGGAATCAATAGAATACTATTCGTAGCCGAGGAGTTCGTTCACCCTCGGATAACCTGTTGGGCGCCCACTTAGAACTCGGGACTTATGACATTTATCAATGAAGTAAGATTCGATATCTTTGTCTTTGTAAGACATGTTTCTAACTGATAAGTGATGCTCAAAAGGGATTTTGTTTCTTATATGATAGCATTGAATGTACAGAAGCCTAAAGAATACCATTGAACTTTGGACATGTGCCCTCAATCGTTACGTACTATTGGAATCCTGTAAATAGTCCTAGGGTCGTATTAACGTCTCAGTGCCCCCTCTACTGAACGAATTAGACTCAAAAGGGGATAAAATTACTATGGGTTTCATGCGAGGGCTAGACTACATGCGTTTTGCCTTGCTTCCGGTAGTTTCATGACGCAATTTCGAGGATTTTGACGCACAGGTCATTGTGCCTCGTAAAAATCTTGAAGAATTGCGGCAAATAACATGTACTTATTCATCAGACTTGAAATTTCGGTTAGACTCGTAACAGTAACGTAGCAGCTGCTGTGATTTTTCCGTTTTATTATACAGCTATTGCTATGCGTATCATGTGTGCCGCGCCTCTTCTTACAAAATTGCAACTTCGCCTTGTAAAATGGGTATACGTCACAACCATTTCGCATTGTCATGTATCATAAGTCATCACCAGGCTTCCCACATCTGCGAGCCCAAGGCCACGAGACGATTAAAGAGTTCATCTCTCGAAATGATGGCGGTGAGGTGATACTCCTTGCCCATACTGTCCGTGACAATAAGGCCGTCCGCAATCTCACGATCAGTTGCCCATCCGACAAAGATCTTGGACTTCCACCCAAGACCGCCCATTTTGCGAATTTGCTAGTGCAGCACGCACGTCAACCCTGTCACCTCTCACGTGCTCAATGGGAAAGGTACTCACTTCAATATCACCAATGGTTACAGTCCATGTTGGACTCAAGTCATCCGATTCCGTAGTCCAGCTAAGCGCAGGGGTCGTGGCCGTGGTCGTGATGTACGCGTGGCCCCTCTTACCCTTCCAGCGCGCGGGGAAGCGAATAGGGCCCTTCTCAGGATCGGGCGTCTTCTTGACGACGCCCAGCCTGTCCTTTGCGTGTTTCGCGCCGACCTTGGCCTTCACCTTGTCCGCGGCGAGGGTGGTGTTGATGCCGCCCTTTGCAGTGCTCTTGATAAAGTTCATGATCCGATGACCCTTCTTCTGCTTGTGCTCTGCCGTTTCTGACTCGGCTGGCGCCAGTGCTGCTTCGTCGGGTTGGATGGCTTCGTCTATCTCTGCTTGATCGACACCTGGTGAGTTGTTTTGATGAGCCAGAGTTGGCAGCGCGTTGAACACAATGGCCGACTTACCGAGATGCTCGAGATCCTGACCGGCGGTCGCATGAGGTTCATCAGGTGGCGGTATGTCGGACTTTGGCGGTGGAGGGAGCGGTGCCTTGTTCCGTTCGCCAATGCGCAGGAGCGTGATGGTGACTTGGGCGTTGGTGGGAATGCCCTTGAGAATGGTGTTTCGCAATTCAACATACTTTTGCCAGTGAGGGTAGGTGCTAGACATACTTTAGACACGCGAGTAATCAACGTTGAGAGAAAGACTGACCGGTTGATAAACACCAGGCCTCTTTGGATGAGTGGGTCTCCAAAGATGATGAATCCAACCGCGAAACCGGTGCCCTTGACCAACATGTACGAAGTTGTAAACAAAGATACGAGCAATAGCGGCAAGATGACGCTGGCCAGGATGAGACGAGGTCTCTGCTGCGGGAATGGGGGTGTCGGACTGAGAGCGTTTGCGAAGCGCTCCCAGGTGTCGACAAACTGCGCGTTCTGTCAGTCACAAGAACGGAAGTCATTTTCAAGTACGGAGCACTAACGTCGGCAATGCCATGCATCACAGGCCCAGCCTTGCTCCAGACGGACTCGTGAACCGGCTTCTTGGTCTTGTCGTGATGGGAGGTGGGCTCTTTCCCGTTCGTCTTGTCCTTGGCATTGACGACATCTTGGGTAATGTTAGTAGGGTCGGGGACAGAAGAGTCGTCGTGGGGATCGCCTTGAGGATGTTTCCCCGCCGCCGTGCTGATGATCAGCGAGGAAATGCTGTTTACGAAGCTGGACGCCTCCTGTTCCACGGCCTCCCCGGCGTGCTTCTCGGGCGCACCCGTGATTGAGTCGTCGGACGCGAGGACGCCGGAGGCGGGCTTCTTGACGCCGCCGGTCTTGCTGTCGATGAGGGAGGCGGGCGCGGGGGGGAAACAAAAGTCTCGCGATTGCGGGACGAGGACGAGGACGATGAGGAAGCTGGCGAGGACGGGGACGACAAAGTCGATGATCCAGGCGATGGAGTAGACTGCGAGGAAGACTGAGGTGCGCTTGTATTCGCGCCATGAACGGAGACGGACAATGTGCTTCCAGAAGGAGAATAAGCCAACAACGACAGTCATGTACAAGCGCTCGACGTGGGCTCGGAGTTTGTCAGGCGAGAATTCCTCCTCATCGGCGATGTTCATGTCCAGATTTGCAAGCTGGTCTATGTTTAGCTGGAGATATGAGCAGGTTTGGAGCGGTAAGCTCACCGGCGGCTCGGGTATCGACTTGACGTGGAAGATTTGCTGCATACGCATCAGTATCACCACGAATGGTACATCCTCTCTTCAGACTTCATTCGGTTCGCTATACCTTGTCAAATCTTCGAACCAGAATCCACAGCTCCTCATTGCTCAAGCCACCAACCATGGGTTGCGCAACCTTGCTCGGAGGGTTGTTCCATCCCAAGTTCTTCACCTCGACGTGATCGTGATCAAGCTCGGCGTGTCCCCTCTCCTCAATCGGCTTCTCCTTGGCAGCCATGTCTGCCAGGTGATGGCTGTCTGTCGGTCTCTCCTCCTCGTATGCCTCTACAATCTCGGGTTCCTGGCCCATCGTCGACTGGCTTGAGTATCCGTAGCTGGACTGGCTGGCCGGGGTGTCTGCACCGGCATCTGAGGCTACCGGTGGAGGTGGTGGTGGTGCTGTTGTCGGTGGCGGTGGAGGCGGTGGCTGCGAATCCATCTCGTCAGTATCGCTGGGTTGACCCTTGAACATGGTTGCTGCCGTTGGTGTTCAAGAGCGCAAAGATGCAAAGAGATGGGAGGCGAGGGGAGTCTCGTAGCTTTGAAGTCGTTTCGAGGTTCAGACACTCATCTGGAGCTACGAAGCTGAGACAGCTGAAAATCATGATTTGGGGGGAAAGCTGGCACGAGCAGACAGCTGGAATGCAGCCGCCGCCGACGTCAAGCGCGTATCTGAGCAAGCTCCTTGCCGCATTTAGCCAAGTGCACATGACGTCACAGGCCGCGCAGCACTGATTAGATGCTGCAAGACGATGATCGCCACGATGACACACGGAAGATCTCCACATGGGTGCATGTGTGCATCCACACGCGTTCATGATGCAGATGTGCACAGAGGAACTCATGGGGAAGCTACCCTAGCTGGCACGGCTGGAAGCAATGACACCTGTTTACCGGATGATTGGATGCCCATCTTCTACGTGGTCTGCCATTTGACAGCTCGTGCAACTAATACATTCTTGCAGTAGAAGAAGGGAAGACAGACCGGACCATTCGATCCGCAACCCTTGATGAATGGCGATCATTGGTTGAGCCGGTGCCTTCTACCTCGTATTGTCTTGCATTTGATCTAGACTCTTTCGCTTTTGAGCAAGCCTCGCAACGACCTGTGGCTGGGGACGTGTGCTGAGATATTGAAGATGCCCTTCGTGGAATAGAAGTTGGAGTTCGTGATACTCAAGCATCTCGTCTACCTACCTCCTGCCTATTCACCGAAGGTTAAGTGGCCAGCTCCGAATAATGCATATTAATCATCTCCGTCGAGGTAAATGAACGGTTTGGATGCTTCCCATACAACCTCACATCGAGACTCGACCAGCGCAGACCCCAATCTCTTCACTCCGATCTAATAATTCAGCCACCTGCTAATGCTAATCCAGTCTGGGCTGGCCGCATTTTCCTCATCGTCAAGCCGCAACATCCGTTTAGCTGCTCAAAGTCACCGCCACTGCCGTCGTTCCGCGATCCAAATCCCGGCTTAGCGGCAACGGTCACGGTCCCCACAACACACGAATTCCGGGGGGGGGGGGATGGGGGAGTGCTGCGGAAGGTTTTCTCCTAACCGAGAAAACTCACGATGTCTCCACTCTAGGGCTTTATCTTCATCTCAGCATGCCCTCGTCCTCAACCGCAATCGATCCATCACCACGGATCAATCATCATCGGAAGGGTGGCCGAGTTGGTTATGGCGCCAGGTTAAGGTCAGCTTAACATCTGTTTCCTGGTGGGGCAACCCGCGCGAGTTCGAGTCTCGTCCCTTTCATTTTTCGCTCAACATCGCTTTTTGGATGTTGGTGAACGGGTGTGTTGTAGGGTTTGACATGAAGTGTGGTTATTCTGCATTGTGGCGGCCTCATCTCGTGACTTGAGCCGATGTAGGTAGCAGCACGCGGTGATGAGTCTGGATAGACGCGGGTGCCCAATGTTTGCGGCTCGAGGAAAAGCATGCATAACGATGAAAACGCCGAGGTTGTGCACCCCTCTCTCACCAAGAGAGTACAGCTGGGTGATCTAGACTACCAGTCTCAAAATGAACATGATGAATGCAGCGTGGATTATGAATCGTATTTGTTTCTCAAAAATATTTACATCTAATAGTAGGCATTACTCTAATCCTTTGAATCATGCGTTCAATCATCATCTAGTTCACCCCTTCATTTCGAGGTTCATATCTAGACCTAATATCCATCCCACCAAGTGTAGTTATTCGTCTGCTCAGCCGTATCCCAAACCAAAGGAACGCTCGTATCCTCCGGCCTCTCCGGCCACGCCTTTGCAAGACCGCTCCAGACCTTGACGTCCTTCCAAGTAGCCCCGCCGCCCTCGCCGGCAGCGAAGAAGCTCAGACCGGTGCTGTCGTTGCGCGAAGGGTAAATCCGTGCCGTCAGCGCGAAGCGCTCATTGACCCAGATCTCGAGCAACGAGTTGTCCAGCACGACGTGGAAGTGGAGATCCTCCGTCACCGTCGCGTTGGTGCCCTTTGCGTGGATCTGGTAGGGCTCAAAGTGGCCCACAAACGTCGCGTTGTTGAAGTTGGGCAGCAGACTGCTGTGCGTGCGGACGACGCTAATCTCCGAGGCCGCCGCGTCAAAGTTGATGGTGGTGTACTCGGCCGAGTCGGGGCTCTGGCCGACGATGATGCCGGCCGAGCCGCTGAAGCCGCTGAGGGTCGCGGTCAGCTCGTAGGAGGTGCCGAGGTCGGCGGCGGCGGTTTTGGTGGTGTTGGCGAGGCGACCGATTTCAAACTCGTGGGTCTCGGCGCCGTCGCGGAGGAGCGCGAGGACGTCGGGCAGGGGCCGCATGCCGAGGGTCTGGGCGGTGTGGCCGTTGCAGCTCTCGATGCAGGTGCTTCCGTCCTGCTGGGTGCCGCAGTTCTGCACGCCCTTGGTCTCCTTGATGTAGAGCTCGACGGGGAGGTTCATGGAGCCCTGGTAGCCCATTTGCTTGGACGTGTTGAAGGCGTAGTCGCCGAGGATGTCGTCGTTGGCCCATCCCCACATGACGCGTCGGTCGTCGTTGCGGGTGTCCTTCCAGGTGGCCTGGGCGTAGGAGATACCCCAGTCCAGGGCGGCACCCGAGGTCGGCGTGAACTCGACGGAGCCGTTGTCGCGGCGGGCGACATGTCCACGGTTCCAGAGGGCCCATTGCTCCTTCCAGTGCTGCGTGGTGTTGCCGCCCTCGGCGCCCATGGTGACGAACCAGGCCTTCTCGTCCGAGTCGCCGACGGGCAAGTCGAAGAAGCTGCTGACCTCAAAGTTGTAGCCGTACGATCCGGTGACGTCGGGCACGCCAAGGGAGGAGTTGGCGACGGGCTCCCAGAGGGCGCCGAGGAAGGTCCACTGGGTCAAGTTGGAGGAGGGTGCGGAATAGAGCGGGATACGGGGGCCGATGAAGCCGGGGCGAGCGGCGCCGGGGAGCTCGGCGGGGACGTCGCCGGTCTTGAGGCCGGAGCCGAGAACCATGTAGTAGTGGGGCTCGCTGACCTGAAGGAGGCTGTCGAGCTCCGTGGAGGGGAAGAAGCTGGGGTCTCTCCAGCCGGTAACGTTCCAGCCCTCTGGGGGGCCGGAGATGACGGTGCCGACTTCGTCCCAGGTGGAACCTCCGTCGGAGGAGGTGTACATGGCTTGCACCTCGGTGCCGGTGATGTACGGCTTCTTCCAGTTGGTGGGCAGGTAGTGGATGCCGGTGCCGAAGGTCAAGAGCGTGCCATCGCTGGCGCCCTCAATGTTGACGGGCTGCGTAGTGCCGGTGAACTGCGAGAGGGGGCCGGAAGCGTACTTGCCGGAGGCGAGCGACACGGAAGAGTCGTTCTGCCAGTCGTGGACGTCGGTCCAGTGGAAGAGGTCCTTGGAGACGGCATGGCCCCAAGAAATGTTTCCCCAGCCGACGTGGTTGGGGTGGAACTGGTACTGTAGGTGGTACGTCTCCGTGGCCGGGTCGTAGACGGCGCCACAGGGGTCGTTGAGCCAGCTGTGCGGCGCGAGGTAGTGGGAGCGAGGCCTCCAGCGGGTGAAGAGGGAGTTGTTGCCCGCCGTCGCGAGGTACTCGGGCGTGATGGTCGGGACGCTGGCGGACGAGGCCGGGACCGCGACGGCGGCGAGAGAGGCAATGGCCGTGAAGACGGCACCACCCTTGAGGACTGACATGCTGTGCTGCGATGGATACTGGTAGACGCGCCGCTTGACATTCGAAATCCCTCGAAGGCAGGCATCCAAGGCGTTCATCTTATATATCGGCGCACCGCCAGACGACGATCCGACTGGACCGGGGAAGCTGTCATTCGGAGCTCTCGATACGACGTCAGCCAGGGCAGAGCCAAGGAAACAGCTCCGCAGACGGACCAAGGGCAAGGAGTCATGATCCCTGGGTGTGATTCTACTGATCCTCGGCGGAGCCAGGTCATATCGATGATGGTTACACGAGTTGAGCGAGAGAGCAAGAAGAACTAAGCAGGAAAGAGTTCCTTGGACCGACTTTACGGGCCGAAAAGAAAGTCGAATGACCGGTCATGGCCCACGGGGTTTCGGTCAAGCCCTGCATGGGAAACGCAGGAACTAGGTTGGCAATCCTGGGAATGGGGGAAAGACTGGAGAAAACGCGGGGCGGCCATGCTGGTGTCTAGAGCAATTTACGACTTTTGGAATCAAATTACGCTACTAACCCCAGTGTCGGTGGGTTTAGTGGCAGACTGACGTTCAAGTACGGATAGCAAGAGGGAAAATGCGGGAGTTGCGGAGGCGCAGGGGTTCGCCCGCGACATCGCTCGCTGAAACCCATCGTCTGGTTTTTGGTGTGAAGAAGGAGAAGAAGAAGAAAAAAGAAAGAAACAGAATGGTCTGGGCCGTTAGAAGTAGCCAGCCGTGCCGGCATAACCTGTCGGTGTGAAGGCCAAACTGTGCAGCAACCGGGCATGTGTGCAGACTTTGCAGCTGGGGAATAGGTAGCCACCGGTTCTCGATCCGCCGCCTGGGCTTAGGTACTCTCCGAGTGGTCGAGAGATCCGACAAGGTCACAGCAAGCAGCGTCGTAATGCAGTATGCACTGTCTTTCTTGAAAGCGAGGCAGGCAGAAAAAGCGTGGCAAGCGAGGGCCACTGAGCAGGAGATCATGGAATTGGCGCGTGACGTTGTGGGGAAGATGGTGATTACAACGGCACTTTGCTCGCTGTTACCTTTTCCATGGGTGCGGAGGGGAGGGACAAGGGTTACTGGCCGAGAGTCTCGCCAGCGGTGCCCCGTAAACCACAAGAAGATGGATTCTCCGATCCAAAGACATGGTCTTTGTTTGGTTCCTTGGACCGCTGAAACCCATACTTTTTGTCACTTTGGTCACTTGTGCCCTTGCCAACCTGGCCTTGTGCGAGGTCGCGAACCCTTCGTTTGGATAATTTGTCTCCTGGCCAAAGCTTCCCTCTTCTCTCGTTGGTTCGGACGACTTTCGCCCCCCCTAATGGACCATGGAGGTGGAGGGGCGCCAATAGACTTTCTGTGGAGGTAGTGACATGACATTGCGGAGGCATTGTGGGGAAATAAAGTGGAATGACATACTTAGTCAGTTGGGGGTCATGAGCAACGCAAGATTTCTTCTTCAAGGAGATTTGAGAGCCTCGGAGAGTTCAATCCCATTGTTGACTATTCTCGCTGAATCTCAAAAAGATCGCGCCATCTAGCTCGGAAACCGGCCGACTGGGTGGGGTCCATCGAGGTACCGACGGACCATCGTGCCGAAAGACTTTCTCACCTGCCGGCGAGTGATGATTCGGCTTCGCATTTGACCTAGGCGAGCCTCGGTATTTCTAATTCGTCCATGTCTCCAACTGTGGCATTCCTCCTGGTGAGAGTTGATTCTTGTCTCCGCAGACCTGTTCCTCCAGCCACAGTCCGAACGGTAAACGGGGCTGAGCCGCCAGCCACCGAACTCGGACCACTCGGATATTGTACGCCCGGGTCAACCAGCTATGATGGTCCGCAGATTTCGCTTTTTAGAGAAGATGAGAGAACTTGAATAGAATTAACTAGACACTGAGATTCATCACTGCATACTTTCACACCAATTCTGATTCCAAGGACATACTTCCAAGGTCGATCGGAGGGGAATCAGGGTGCTCAAACACCAAAGCACAAACTTCAACTTTTTATTACGGGGTGATACGTATGCGTAGGGAAACCGTCACTTCAAGCGAAGCTTCTTGAATGCACGGTTTGGTACATACCGGCTGGACCGTATTAACACTCGAAGAATGGTATGGTTCAGTGAAATTTCGGCCAGAATCACCGCATGCAAGAGACTTGTGATTGGGACCACGTTGCGACTATGGCCTGCAAAAAGTCCCTAGTACGAGTTTCGAAATCCTCGAAAAGTACGAGGAAGCACGGGTGCTATATGAGCCTGCAATCAATGGCGTTCGGCGAGCTCTGGGTAGCGGATATTCCTGGACTTTGGAGCTCTCTGGCAATTGTGTTTGATTCTGTGCTCGAAGGTCCTAGTTGATGAGGCGGTGAAGCTGTAAGGCGTTTATGAAGCGAAAAGACAGGTCTTTGGTCCCGATCATTGAGGCTCACTGAACACTCTCTGCAACCTCGGCAGACTCTCGTTCGATCCAAAAGATCGGAATTCTGAGCGTTACATCGAGAATGCACTCCGTCGCTTGAGGGAAGCGTACGACGACAACAGTATTGGCCTCTTGGCGACAGCGAAACATCTGGTCTTTTTCCGCCGGAAAGCTGGAAACGTCGAAGAGGCGCAGGAAATCAATGTTGAAGGTGACCATACTTCCATGTACCCAAGAGCACATTCAAATACTGAATTTTTCTTCTTCAATGTCGTTCCGCAGGACGGTTTTTGTTACGATCCACATGAGGATATTCTCATTCCGCCCCCCCCC